TGGGACAGCAACCATCAAGCTCCACACGGAAACCAATAAAATGCCAATCAAAAAAGGTGTTAGACAAGGTGATACCATCTCACCAAAACTGTTTTCAGCCAGCCTTGAAGAAATATTCAATAAACTAGAATGGAATGGAAAGGGTATCACAATAGGAGACGAATGCTTAAACAGTCTAAGATTTGTAGATAATTTTGTTCTCTTCAGTGAATCTGCAAATGAAATGCAGCAACCAATAAACAATCTGTATAGAGAAAGTCTGAAAGACTAAGATCGTGTTCAACAGTAGCATTCAATTTCAACAGATATGCATACAAGGTGAAGCGCTATAGGTAGTGGACAAGTATATATGCCTTGGGCAACTAGCGACGAGGAAATTAAGCGATGCATCAGTCTAGGCTCTAGGGCCTTCGGCAGACACAATAACATACTAAGAGGCTCCTTGCCATTATGTTTAAAAGGAAAAGTCTTTAACTAATACGTCCTCCCAGTTCTGACCTATGGCTCAGAAACATGGACTACAACCAAAATACTGGAGAGGAAATTAGTAAGTGCCCGGAGAGGTTGATGCTGAGAATTAGCCTAAGAGATTGGATGTGGGCAATGTGGATCAGGGAACAAACAAAAGTAGAAGATATACTTGTGAACATCAAAAAGAAAAAAATGGCAATGAGCAGGTCATATATGTCTGAGACAAGACGTCAGATGGACAAAGAAAGTAACAGACTGGGCTATAGATAACATAAAGAAGCCAAGAGCCAGACCAATGACAAGATGGCGTGACGAAATAACGAAATATGAGGGCCAAGACTGGAAACATGTACATATGTATATGCATATATATATATATATATATATATATATATATATATATATATATATATATATATATATACATATATATATATATATATTTGTATATTCATATATACACATATATACACATATATACACATATATACACATATATATGTATATATATGATATATATACATATATATGTATATATATAATATATATACACATATATATATACATATATATATATATATATATATATATATATATATATATATATATATATATATATATATATATATATATATATATATATATATATATATATATATATATATATATATATATATATATATATACATGTATATATGCATATATATATATACATATATATATATATATATATATATATATATATATATATATATATATATATATATATATATATATGTATGTATGATACATATGTGATACACTCCAGCCAGCCAGTCAGACCGTGAAATGTAATAAAATGTTTCTGTGCATCAGATACAAGTACATAATGACTGAAACGACATAAGAATTTCTTCAAGTCATATGATGTGGCACTGAGCGTGGGATGAATATCTTGTGTATCTCTATGCTATAAAATTTACAGGCTCAAAATTATCAAAGATGGGCCTATGAGTTTTGATTTCTGGGTGTATTACAGGCCCTAAGAAAAGTAAAGACCTGTAACCATGACAATAATTCGGTTGTCTACGATTCGAATTTAGTGCTCATTTGCGGTGGATACGATAGGATGAATAATTCCATTTTTCATACGAAGAACACTGGATGTAATAAGAAAAAAAAAAAAAAAAAAAAAAAAAAAACTGTCTGAATCTGAGGAATAAATATGAAAGCTTCTACTGCGTGTAAACAATAGAATAGTCAGTTCCTTTTTTCCTGCAGAATAGTCAGTACATTTTCTATTCCATATGGAGTTTCCACAATGTTTTGCTTGTAATAAAAACATATAGTAACATATTAAGTACTTTAATGGTTTTCTATTAATTTTATTATATGAAATAAACAAAACAACTTTTCTTATTTCATATCTTTGTTTGTCATTTCAAACTTCAATGATACAGTGTTCTGTAGCGACTACGAACCAACATTCAACAATGTATCAAATTCTTAGGGGTTTCGGGATTCTACAAGAAAAAGTCTATAATCTGTCAAAGGAATGCAGTTTCTCACAAACAAACCGGAAACTGTCTTGTAGTTATACGCTATAACAGCATAAGCAGATCCTAAGCATCACTTGTAACACGAACTGAAAAATACGAAATAGTAGAACCATGAGAGATAGAGAGAGAGAGAAGAGAGAGAATTGACTTGATACTAAAGGCATTGTCAAGTAGCCTGTACGGTTGTATGGCAATTGTTGCCGTCATTCATTAGATTGGTAAAGAGCAAAACAAAAATTTTACATGACTAATCATATCGCAGACCTTGACAGTGGCTATAATAGCATTAATAGACTGTTTGATCGACAAGGTACAGTGGCTATTCATTTAAGATATAATGTAACTGCAAAGTAAAATTATTCAAGAAAGTGCGTGTTTGGCTGATTGATCGACACGAGGATATTCCAGTATGAGGGTATCCACTCGCGTGATGCGTGAATGTCTAGCTTTGAATATCTAGAAATTTGGTGCAATGTAGTCCTTTACATCAG